TTTAAATGACTCTAACAAGTAAATAATAAAAAAAACTCCTGGTACTTATATAAAGTGATTAAGTTCATGTTGCTACGTGTTCTGCATATATTACTTGATTAGCATAAAGATAGTAAACCGAATGGATGTTGTAGTGCATGTAATGGAAAGTAATAAAGGATTAAAAATTAAACACGGATCGGCGGTTTTCAGCACTGGTCGGATCGGACCATTGACCATTGACCATCGGAACTTCCGGGGAGGAGGTTTGTGGTCTCGAGCGTGCCTTTTGGGCATTGTCTTCTAGGAAATCTGTGACTGTGACGGCGTCAGGCGTCAGTTTTTTTCATCGTAAAAACTAAAAAAGGTCAGCATCAGGACCGGGAACAGTCTCATTACACATCGGTAGACTCTAATTTGCAACAGACTACCGCCCGGACTGGTTCCAAACACGCGTTTATAGCCGAGCTTACGTGTTTGTAACTGAAGTTCTTTTTTTGTTAACGAGCTTTAATCGGGGGTTATTATGCGAGATCTACCACCAAGGTCGGAAACGGTCGAGTCTTTTCAGAACCAATTTTCCGTCTAATTATTATCCATTAATTTGATAATTGGATATAAGTGCAAGTTATCTCATTATGCCTTTTTGTAAAGAAAGCCCGAATTGGGCGTTTACGATGGATTTTGTACAAGGTGACACACGGGCCAATTTTCTCCTTTATTTCCCATAATTTGCGGATATTCTAAAGGTCGTCAAATTACGTCAAAATTTCTTATTTACGCGGGTTAGGTTTGATTTAATCAGTAACTGTTGTTTCTATGCCTTAGGCAAAATATGATACTTTTTTCAAGCGAAAGGCGAAGAGTTAAATGGGTTAATAATAGTGTAGGAGACTTCAAAGAAAAACTATAAGAAAGAAAGAGAAACCTAAAAATTATGCTAAACACAACCGATTGAAAAATTAGCCTTGAGCTTCCAACATTGGTATTAGTTACCTAATTTCATAGGCATTCCATCCTAGATGTCCCTTTTTAGAAAATCATCCGCGGATGATTTCTCATTTACTGAACTATCCATTTGCAATTTGACTTTCGCTCTTCTTCAAAATAAAAATCAAAATAAGGCCAAACGGGGTTAATTATTACTGACTCATTTAACACTACTTTTTAATATTCGTGCGGCCATTTTGGCTAGAATTTCATGAAAGCCTGAAATTTACTCATACTAGTATTTAAACATCATGGGGCCACTTCTTTAAAAAAAAAAAAAAATCAAGTCAATTGACCTCCTTACGAACCTCTTCAATTTAATTAGATAAGATTCAAAGTTTCGTAGCAGGAAATAATTTAATAAAGCCTGAACAGTTTGCATTTTCAAACAAAAAATACCACTGATGCTGTAATGAATTGTATATCCTTCTTGATATCTTCCTATTTACACAAGAGAAACCAAGCAGTTAAATTATCCAATAAATTCTCCCAGTTTGAAACTTTTATAAACGATTTGTCTGTAAATCAGAGCCTTTTTGCCACTAACAAAAAAAAATTAATTAAGGCTTGAGTTTACAATAAACTGATAACTAAATATTTACACAAACAGGCAGTAAAATTATCCAATAAATTCTCCCAGCTTATAATAATAAATAAATATTAGTGTTGCTCAAGGGTCAATCTTGGGACCTCTACTATTGTTCATCATTTTCATAAACGATTTGCCTTTAAATCAGAGGATTCTTGACCCTTTTTGCTATTGAAGCAGCTAGCAAAAGAAACAATTTAATGAAAGCTTGAATTTATAACAAAACTGATATCTTCATATTTATACAATAGAAAACAGGCAGAAAAATTTTCCAATAAATTTTCCCAGCTTGAATAAATAATTAACAGTGTTGCTCACAGGGCAATCTTGTTACTGCTACTTCTGTTTATCATTTTCATAAGATTTGTCTTTCTTCTTCTTCTTCTTCTTCTTCTTCTTCTTGTAACTTTTTGCTAACAAAAGAGACAATTTAATTAAGGCTTGAGCTTACAACATAAGCACAATAAATAAATTATCGTTATTCCTCGAGGGTCAATCTTTGGACCTCTAGTGTTCACCATTTTTATAAACGAGTTGTCTTTAAATCAGAAAAGAGACAATTTAATAAAGGCTTGAGCTTACAACAAACTGACATTTAAATATTTACACAGTAGCAAGCAGACAGTCGATTTTTCCAATCAATTCTCCCAGCTTGAAGAAATACCTATTATTGTTGCTCAGGGGTCAATCTTTGGGCCTCTACAGTTCACTATTTTTATAAACAATTTGTTTTTAAATCAGAGAGTTCTTGTCATTGTCATTGTCTTTTGCTAACAAAAGAGACAATTTAATTAAGGCTTGAACTTACAACAGACTGATATCTAAATATTTACACAAACAGGCAGTAAAATTATCCAATAAATTCTCCCAGCTTATAATAATAAATAAATATTAGTGTTGCTCAAGAGTCAATCTTGGGACCTCTACTATTGTTCATCATTTTCATAAACGATTCGCCTTTAAATCAGAGGATTCTTGACCCTTTTTGCTATTGAAGCAGCTAGCAAAAGAAACAATTTAACTAAAGCTTAAGCTTACAACAAAATTAATATCTTCATATTCTACACAATAAAAAAACAGGCAGTCGAGATATCCAATAAATTCTCCCAGCATGAAGAAATAACTATCGGTGTTGCTCGGGGTTCAATCTTGGGACTTCTACTACTGTTAGTCATTTCTTAAACAGTTTGCCTTTAAATCAGAGGATTCTTGACACTTTTTGCTATTGAAGCGGCTAGCAAAAGAAACAATTTAATGAAAGCTTGAATTTATAACAAAACTGATATCTTCATATTTATCCAATAAATTCTCCCAGCTTGAATAAATAATTAACAGTGTTGCTCACAGGGCAATCTTGGGACTTCTGCTACTGTTCATCATTTTCATAAGATTTCTTATTCTTCTTCTTCTTTTTGTAACTTTTTGCTAACAAAAGTGACAATTTAATTAAGGCTTGAGTTCACAACAAACGGATACCTTAAATATTTACACAATAGAAAGCAGGTTGTCAAATTATCCAATAAATTCTCCCAGCTTGCAGACATAACTATTGTTATTCCTCGAGGGTCAATCTTTGGATCTCTACTGTTCACCATTTTTATACGTTTAAACGATTTGCCTTTAAATCAGAGGATCCTTGACAGTTTTTGCTATTGAAGCGCCTAGCAAAAGAAACATTTAATTAAAACTTTAGCTTATAACAAAACTGATATCTTCATATTTACACAATAGAAAACAAGAAGTGAAATTATCCAATAAATTCTTTCAGCTTGAATAAATAATTGTCAGTGTTGCTTGGGAGTCAATCTTTGGACCTTTACTGTTCACCATTTTTATAAGCCAGTGGTCTTTAAATCTGATTGTTTTTGTCACATTTTGCTAACAAAAGAGACAATTTTATTAAGGCTTGAGCTTACCACAAACTGATATTTAAATATTTACACAATAGCAAGCAGGCAGTCGAGTTATCCAAGAAATTCTCCCAGCTTGAAGAAATAACTATTGTTGTTGCTCAGGGGTCAATCTTTGGACCTCTACTGTTCATCATTTTCATAAACGATTTGCCTTTAAATCAGAGGATTCTTGACACTTTTTGCTATTGAAGCAGCTAGAAAAAGAAACAATTTAATAAGGTTGAGCTTATAACAAAATTGATATCTTCATATTAAATTCTCCCAGCTTGAAGAAATAACTATTACTGTTGGTCAGGGGTCAATCTTGGGACCTCTTCTGTTCTTCATTTTCATAAACGATTTGCCTTTAAATCAGAGGATTCTTGACACTTTTTGCTATTGAAGGAGCTAGCAAAAAGAAACAATTTTATAAGATTGAGCTTATAACAAAATTGATATCTTCACATTAAATTCTCCCAGCTTGAATAACTATCTATACAAATAACTATCGGTGTTGCTCAGGGGACAATCTTCGGACCTCTATTCAGTTATAATAGTTTTCTTTTCATCTTTTCTTTGATTGTTCCTTTTATCTCTTTCTAAGTTATGATTTCTAGGCATCTGCAGCTTTTACCCATTTATCTTTATCATCTCTCATAATATGCCCTACCCATTTTCATTTCACTGATTGAACTCAGTGTTCTTATGTCTTGCACTTTTGTCTGTTGCTGTATTTTTGTGCTTTTCTTTAGTTTTTTATCTTTGTACCTGTGAAGTTCCTTTCTGAGGCTCTTTTAAAGCTCTTTGAGTCGTTTCTAGGGTCTCTTCTGTGCCAGTAATTTGATCTGTAGATAAGACATTTCACTTGTCCAGCACCTTTCATTTTATAGGATATATTATTATTTTAATAATTTCTTTTAAGTCCCAGTATTTCTTTCAAGATATGGTTGGTCTTCTTGCTAAATCCTTTCCTGTTCTATTCTTGAAACTCAATCTATCCTAAATAATTGGTTTCCATAAAGTATTGTAGTTTTCTTCCCTCTGTCTGGTTGTCTTTTTATTTTGGTTCATTTTGCAGGTGTTTGAAGACTTTCTTTTTCCAATCATGTATGTTTCGTGAAGTTTCAGGAGTTTCTGTAAATATTATGATGTCATGTACAAAATGAAGAAGCGTGTCTTCTCTCCTTCCCTGTATAGTTCCATCTTGCTGAGTCTTACACTTTGTTTTATACCCCTTGTCCATGTTTGATGTCAAAATATTCTCCAATAATTAATTTAGAGTATTTGCACATTTCTTTAATTATTCTCAGGATTTTTGAGGTGTATTTTGCTTCCTCAGGGTTAAATAAATGTGTTGTAGGAAAAGAGCTAAACACCTTTTTGTATTCCAAAAAAGCCATACATATAAACTTTCAGGTTATACTTTGGGTATAAGTGTTAGCTAAGATAAATTTAAAACAAAAAAAGAACGTTTTTTATGTTTTCTCTGCTAATTTAAAAATGTGTTCGTTAAAAAAACAAATTTTGCTATTTTATTTTTTTGTTGTTAGGACGATGAGCCGCCCGAAATTACATACTGCGTCGTCGACCAAACCGGTACCCTTTCCCTCCAGACTCTCACCCCTACTCAGCCGATTCCTCCTGAGGATGAACTCAACCTCAAATTTTCTGAGCTGGTTGACGAGCTCGACCTCACAGCACCAAACAAAGCTGCGATGCTGGCATTGCCCAAGGAGAAAAAATGGCAAATCTACTGCAGTCAGAAAAAAGTATTATAATAGTGTCACAATAATGATTATAAAATTATAATAATATTTTTCTTTAGGATATCGAAGGACAACAAACAGATTTATCACAGTTGCCAGAAAATTACATCGAAGCAATGAAGAACTTGTCACTTACTCCGGCCAATGAGTGCGATGCGCTTGATGATTTACAATTGGCGACGGCAACGAGGACCCTAGATGGCGTGAAGACTGCATTGAGGACTCAGCCTCACAGTTTTGTACAGGGTTTTCTTGAATCCGGCGGTCTCACGTCCCTTCTGGCACTTCTCGATGGAATGGACTACACGACATCGCAGTCGACCGTACACACCTCGCTCATTGGATGTGTGAAAGCGCTTATGAACAACTCAACCGGGCGTTCACATGTCCTCGCTCATCCCACCGCAATCCAAACTATTGCAAGAAGCCTAAGTTCAGAAAACATCAAAACTAAAATTGCCGCGTTAGAAATTTTAGGAGCTGTATGTCTCGTGCCAGGAGGGCATAAAAAGGTCCTTGATGCCATGACTCACTACCAGGCTTTCACTTCTGAGCGATGCAGATTTCAAGTATGAAAATGTTTATAATTTAACAATGTTTAATTTTTAAATACTTAATCTACTTGAATTTAACAATTTATTCAAAATTTGCATCCTATAGATTAATATTTGATTTGTTACTTTTTTAAGGGCATCATCAATGATCTAGACCGATGGACTGGTCTATACCGAGATGAGGTGAATCTCAAAACGGCAATAATGTCTTTTGTAAATGCAGTACTTAGCTATGGGCCAGGTCAGGAGAATCTCGAGTTTCGTTTACACCTTCGCTATGAGTTCATGATGCTTGGGATACAGCACGTCATTGAAAAACTGAGAAAGCACGACAATCAAAACCTTGACAGGCACATAGATTTTTTTGAGATGCTCAGAAAAGAAGATGAGAAAGAGCTAGAGAGAAAATTCAATGTGGTAATAGAGCTAAATTTTTCAAATTATTTTGCTTTTAGATATTTGAATTGAGACTAGAATTTAAAAAAATGGTTTCTTTTTTTAGGACAAAGATTTTGATCTGACCAGTGCGACCTCGATGTTTGAAGTGGTAAGAAGGAAACTTAGCCATACCGCTGCGTATCCACATTTGCTCTCACTACTCCAGCATTTTCTTTTACTTCCATGTCCGTATTTACCATTTTTAAAATGAAATTTTCCATATTAATGGTTATTTGTTTGTTTAGTGGATTACGGAAGCCAGCCCCAGCATTGGCTCCTCTTTGATAGGATTGTACAGCAAATCGTGACACAGACTGACAACGGAACGAACCACGACGTGTCAATCGTAGACATAAATGTCAAAGAGATTGTTCAATTGTAATTATTTTTATTGCATTTTTTGTAATTTAGATCCTAAACGTATATTTTGCCCAGGTTGGTGAAAGAAGAAGAATTGATTGCTGCAAGAACAAAAGCAGAAGAGCTTGAGAAAGAAAATACTGAAATGGCAAGCAAACTCGCTAAGAAAGAGCAGGAGCTGGACCAAAAGATACAAGAAAAAGTATGCAATATATTTTTACTCAAACGTACAAAAATAAATTTTGTTATTTTATCATAAAATCCATTGGTTAATAATAGTGTAAGTCTTTAAACAATTTTTAAATTAATTGTAGGAAGACTTAGAAGCTAGTATGGTAAGGACTAAAGAGAGGCTTGAAAAAGAGACAGCTGCACATTTAGAAACAAGGCAGAAAGTATCGGCACTTGAAGACTCTGCAGCAGAACTTCAACATAGATTGGAGCTTGAAGAGAGGGAAAGAAGGCGACTTGAAGTGTTGCTGAGTGAAGGAAGCCTGCCTGATGATACCAAGGTATAATTAAAAAAATAAATAAATAAATAAATAAGTGGTTTTTGAAACTTTCCATATTTTAAATTGTTTGAATTGTTCTAAATAGGCTGAAGGGTTGAACATGGTCAATGGTCATCATCATTTACCACCACCTCCACCTCCACCTCCTGCTGCGCCATTGCCACCGCCGCCACCTCCTCCAACGGCGTTGGCACCACCCGGCCCTCCTGTCCTTTCAGCTAACCCACCACCGCCTCAGCAGACAGTGAGACCAGCCAAGAACGTGCCAAAGCCGTCGAACCCACTGAAGTCGTTCAACTGGTCCAAGCTCCCTGACACAAAACTTTCCGGTACTGTATGGACCGAACTGGACGACACCAAGCTCTACAACTGTATGGACCTTGAAAGCATCGATCGCCTTTTCTGCGCCTACCAGAAAAACGGTGTTGCTGTGAGTATCTAAAATTACATATAAAAAAATGGATTTTTTTCTCATCATATATATTCCTTATCAAGTCATCGATATATTTGAAGATGTTATATAATTAAAATTTCTAGGGGTTTAAACGTAAAAGTCAAGAAGACGATTTAGAAAATTGTGAATCTCAGAAGGTTGTAAGTTCTAAGATTTATTTTCCACTGCCTATCAACCATCAAAACCTATCATTTGCAATAATTTTGCAGTTTCATATTTTATTTCTTTAAATATAGAATAATATATTTTTATAGATAGCAATTATAGATAGATTTGACAAAGAAACAAAATTAGCGTTTATTTTTGTTTTTCTGTTATATAGCACTATAACTATAAGTTGATAAACCATAGTGATCCCATTTTAATTTTATGATGGTTAAAAAGGGGAAAGAGTACTGTTTAAAGAAAATATTGTACTGATCGTTTCTATTCATCCTGGCTCATCATCTTCACTTTCTTTGTCATTTTAACCAAATTTAGTGGTCAAACTGTTAGTTTTTCTGTATGTGTATACTTTTCCCTTTTTAAGGTTCTAATGGTAAACCAGGATGATCATAGATGATCTATGGCAAACATTTAACGATCATTCTTTTTTTTAACACGATATCTTTTCAAATCTTTCAAATTTTCTATCCCATTTTTATCCAATTTATGATACAATTTTAAATGTAAATTTTTTTCAACTTAATTTTTATTCTGTTGAATGAATTAGAATACACGAAAAAAAGTAACGGTTGAATTAGTTGTAGAAAACTTATCTCATTTATCCAAATTTTGAATACAGAATTAATTTTACTTGTAGCAACATTGAGTAAACCAAGAAAAACAAAAAATTTTATTTGAAATTTAACGGTAAATAACGACTTTGTCCGTGTATTTAATATTATTTAACCCCTTTTTTTTATTGTTTTGAAGAAAGTCATTTCATTGTCAAATGTTTAAATTCTAAGCTTTTAATTTTTTTCCAGAATGAAGGTTCAATTGAAGATTTACGTCAACTGGGAAAAAACAAAACCAAAATTCTTAGTGTAATAGACGGACGAAGGGCTCAAAATTGCACCATTTTACTTTCGAAGCTGAAACTCTCCGATGAAGAAATCACAAAGTATGATTTGATTTAGTGTAAAATAATTAAATGCAGATTTATATAAAATTAATTTGTCGCAGGGTGATCATGAGCATGGATTCGAGGGACGAACTGCCACCAGATATGGTTGAACAGCTACTCAAGTTCACGCCAAGCTCTGAAGAAGCCGCTCTGCTTGAAGAACACTCTGAGGAAATCGACAACCTCGCACGTGCCGATAGGTTTCTCTATGAAATATCAAAGATCCCTCATTACGAACAGCGCCTTAGATGTCTCCACTTTAAAAAACGGTTCTACCACTGGACGGGTGAGGTCCAACCGCGGATCAAGGCCGTTATGGAAGCATCGAGGGAGACGACTCGTTCACGCCGACTACGCAAAGTGCTTGAGGTTGTCCTCGCCCTTGGAAACTATATGAACAGGGGTGCGAGGGGAAATGCTTGCGGCTTCAGACTTGGATCGCTCAATCGACTAGCTGACACAAAGTCAAGTCAATGTAAAGGAACCACCCTTTTGCACTACTTAGTTGAAGTTTTACAAAATAAAGTAAGTTTTAATGCCTTTTTTTATTATAACACAAAAATCAAACAAAACAAAAAATCTGGATTTCTTTTGTAGTTCAAGGATGCACTGAAACTTGAAGAAGACATGCCACATGTTAAAGAAGCAGCAAAAGTCAGGTAAGTCTTTTTTGTTGTCACAATTATTAGTCTGGCAATATTTTAGGTTTTATTTTTTATTAATATCCTCAATCGAACATTATATGATTTCTCTGTGTGGTCTTCAGGGTGGCGAACCTGTAATTTGGTTATTGATCATTTTGGTCTGCCAAGTACTGCTGGAGCAAAGCAGACCAAAATGATCAGTAATGACCAAATTACTGAGTCACATAGCTTTTATTGACTGAAATTAACTCTTTTAAAGGGAATAAATGGCTGTGAGCCACCTCCAAGAGTTAAAATATTTTGAAGATTTCAGGGGAAAATCATGTTGTCATTTTTTGTAATAATCCATAATAAAAAAAATGCTTAGGAAAAATATTTTGTTGTGTATGCCTAATTGACAACATACCACAAATATTAAATAAACACAATTTCATAAAACACTTTTATGGTAACATTTGTATTTATGAATATGGGTAGATTATGTAGAAATTTCCCATTTTTCTTGAGCAATATTTGCCCAACTTTTGCAGGTCATTGAACTTTTCTTTTGATGTTGGCCACAGATCTAAAATACATCAATTTTAAAAATATAGTAATGCTTACAAACCTCTCAACCACGTATTCTCCAACAGACCCATCAGCTTTTTTTCCAACAATTTCCAAACTCCTCAAAATCATTTTGTGTGCTTAATACCCATCTTAGATACTCATAAAATCATTCACTTTCACCAATTTGTCTTCCGTCTCCATCATTCCACAATCCAGCTGTTTCAGAGTTGTTGACGCCATCTTCTCTGCACTAGAGAACAATTAGTATCGCTTGGGTGTATTCCTAGATGTAGCTATGCTTTTAATAGGGTCTAGCATCCAGGCACTTAAACGCTTCCCAGTCCTTATTGCTTATCCTGAAATCCTACCTAACCTAGTCAGATACAAGCCAGTGTCTCACAAGGGAGCATTCTTGGTCCAATCATTTACCCTGCTGACCTACTTATACATCCCAATATCATCCACGTAGCAGATGACTCGACTATTTCTTCTAACAAGCAACCTCAACTAAGAACACCTTGAGCATATGGAAGACTGGTGCAAAATGTCCAAGACAAGACTGAATGAAAAATATACTCAGTGTACGTTCACCTTGAAAAAACAGTCTTGCATTTCCAGTCAAGTTGAATACTTAGGAGTATACATAAACAGCAGACTGACATGGAATCCCCCCCACAAGACTTAAAAGACAAGTTAATAGAAGACATGGACTTCTAGGACCCAATCTGTCTTGACCATCAAAGCTATGCTAACTTTATTTTGGACAGACTGGAACTGCCAAGTTATGGCAGTTGCAGGATCCAACATCCAACATATCCAATCCTTCCAACCAAAAGTCCTCAGACAAATTGTCAAGCTTCTTACTACGTCACTAACCTTACTATCGACAATGGCATCTCTTTGTTTATTTTATAATACATGATCAAGAAACTATTACATAATTCACACTGCTTGGTATTTGATTTCAATAAGTTTTGTACCCCTGGTTTGTTCATGTAAAGAAGTAAATGAAGTAATAACACAATAGGGGGGGGGGTCCATCTATCTGTTGTGTGTTGCGGGCGAGGGGTTAAATCACTTTACAATAAATATTTTCTCCATATTATTCACAATTAAAAGTTCATGTGCTATGTCAAGATTCAAACCCACAATTGTTAGTGTGGCAAATACAAGGCCACTGCAGTCTTATAGTTTTTTTTTTTTTTTTTTTTTTTTTTTTTTTTTTTTTTTTTTTTCATGTCCTTTAATGTGTGAAACAATTTCCTAGAGCACCCTAAGTGCTAAGTGTGCTCTGGTTGATGAAGTCTGAAGGAGCTTTAGTATGGGTGTGCTGGAAGCCTGATTTACTTATTTTGACTGTTTTTGCTTTATATTTTGGGAAGTGTGCTGTAGAACACTGAATCTCAGTTTAAAAAAAAATAATGGCAGATTTTATATTGTGCTAGTCACTTTTCATCACAGGAACAACTTACTACATTTTCTAGGTTATGTTCAACTTGCCGCAAGGTTATGTCAGTGGTGTTTCATAATCGCCTATGATAACCATAATTTGCCCAACTGTTTAGAGATTTTTATCGGATCATTGAAACAATCATGTATCTTTTTGTTTGCTTACAGTCTGCAGGAGTTAGAAAAGGATATGTCACAACTCAAAGTGAACTTGAAGGAAGCTGAAAGAGAACTGGAATTCCAGAGAGTTCAACCGGTTGTTCCTGGTGACAGGTTCCTCCCTGTGATGAAAGATTTTGTCGCTGTTGCAACGTGCAGGTTGACTGAGTTGGAAGACATGTTTCATGATATGAAAACAAGGGTAAACTTGCTTTCACATTTTTTAATTTTAAAAATAATTAATAATAATGATATTATTCTGGTTAGTTTGACCGTGCTGTTCGGACATTTGGTGAAGACAACTCTTCGATACAGCCTGACGACTTTTTTGGTATCTTTGATGCCTTCCTAATATCTTTCGCTGATGCACGGACTGATAATGAGAACTGGAGAAAGCGTAAGGAGGAGGAGGAGAAACGAGCCAGGCAGGAAGCCGAGGTAAATACTCCTCCATTGAGATATTAGCCATAATTACCTTATTGACTATGCATATATAAGACAATTCGTGTACCATAAGTTGTTGTTTTGACCACTGTGTGGGCAATGGGCTCGACAGATGAGGGAGCTGATAAAGTTACGCAAGAGGAACCACAGCGTAGTGGCTGCTGCAGCGACACACGCACTCCCGAAGAAGAAAGTTGGATCTGGCAAAATTGATCAATGGGATGTCATCTTTTAAAAATACTCAAATTGAAATTGCTCTAGTCAAAATTGAGTCAAAACGGATGTTTTTAGTGCTTTAATGGTAAACATTGATTTTTAAAAAATAAATAAAATGAGGACTAAGCACTATACTGGAAAAGGAATCACTGGAATGTTTTTGGGGGCAGAGGAATTTTTATAATGTTTTTGTAATAAATTGGCACAATTTGGAATGTTTGTTTCAACACCGCATGATGTCTTTTTATTAGTTTTCTTGTTTTTAATAAAATTGTTTTTATAGATGAAGAAAAGGACTATGGAAAGAAAGAATTCAAGGACTGTTGAAAAGTCACAGCTTGGAGCTGCATTACACAACGGAATGCACAACGGCGTTCAGAATGGAAAAGGCCAGAACGGTGCTAAGGGTGAATTCGATGATCTCATATCGGCTCTGAGGACTGGCGACGTATTTGGAGAAGATAAGATTAAAAGAAGTCGCAAATCACGTTTCAACGCATCGCCACCACGACGCAACTCCCTTAACCGAGAAGATTCACGCGAACGAGTGATTTCCAGAATCCAGAGTTAATTTATGCAATCAAACCTTACCGAGATTTTATCCAATATTTTTAACACAAGATGCTAGTCGTCAAATTTATTTTATTCAAACAACCAAAGAGGTTTTACAAAATTGATTTTCTCAAATAAAGTTATTTTTATTAACTTTTCTTTTTATTGGCTCTGTTTTTTAAAATATCTTTGTATAAAAGTTTATAAAACAGAAGATTACTGTTGAAAATGGAAAGAAAATGCGATTCAACCTTAAAAAATCTTTTTTAAAAATTTATTGTTGAAAATTCCATACAGAAATGATTTGACCATGGAAAGGTTCTTAAAAATTAACTTTGTTATTTAAAGAAAACCTTAAACAAAATTTTAACATTTCGTTTTTGAATTTATGCCTAATTGTTTTTTTGAGCTTTAACTCAATTTTCAGAACGGATAAATTTTAATAAAAAATGAAGTTTTTTATTCTGGAGGGGGACCAAGGTAAATTGAATATATTTTTAATTTCGTCTAGTTTGGAAGAATTGAAAAAAATGTCTAGTCTATTTATTAAAAAAAAAAACTATAAAAAGATAATTAACGATGTCGTTTATTTTTTGAATGAAACGTTCCATGTTGTCTGTTAAGCATCAAGGGTAAAATACTTGAAAGCTCAAATTCCTAGCGTGTTTCAACAATTGCGGAGAGGAGAAAACAAAACGCAAGTATTACCTGGTCAATTTATCCATTATTAAAGATTTACAATTTATTTAGGATGACATTTATGAAAGAATGATTATCACTAGAGTCTTTTAACTAACTCATCTTCATATAATGTAGTTATTGTTGTATATAGAAAATAAAAACTATCAGAATTTCTTTAAATATACAACACTACCATGAGATAAAAAGGATCGAGTAATTAGAGCGTAGTTCATATTGATAAACTTAACGTTAACCTTTATTACGCAAAATTAAAACGAAAATTGTAAGTTGTGACTGAAAAAAGAAAATACAAATTGTTGAAAAAAAAAGAAGAAAATTTTTCTTTTTAAAGACAATTTGTATAGTTTAAGGGAATTACATTTCAATTTTTTAAATATAAAAGAAAAGTTTGTAATTTTGTACATATTTGTATGTTTCTATTTGTTTTTAGTAATTTTTTGTATTAAAATGCGAAAGAAGGAAATAAATATGTATGTGTAAAGCGTAGAGTCTAGTAGAGAAGATAATGTAAATTTTGAAAGAATAAAAAAAATAACAATATAATTGTGATGTGATGAAAATAAAAATAAATATCTGCTAAAGTTAAGAGTATTTATTAACAAACCCTTTTATAAATCTCTGTTAATAAATATTATTTTAATTATTTTACAAAATAGCTATATGTACGGATATTAACTTTTGAGAACAAAAGTGTTCCAATGGGCAGCTGAATATTCACGGACGAAGTGAAACAGCGATATAAATACAATTACAATATTTACTGACAGCAAAATAAGTTTGGACTGCATAAAAAACAAAAAATAACCCTTTATAGAGGCCGCTAGACAATTAATTGACAACTTAAAAACAGACTGTGGAACGCAGATTCGTTTTTGCTGGGTTCAATCAAACATTGGCTTAAAGGGAAATGAAACTGCGGATGAAGCAAGTTTCTGACAAGAGCAGTCGTCCCATTGCCAGGAAATGAAACTGCCTAAATCGTATTTCAAAGCCTTGCTATAATTAAAGAGCGAATTGAGAATCCAGCTGAAGGAAATTGAAAATGCGAGCCAGACAAAGAATTAGACAGAGTTGATGATGGTCATTAGTCTGCGAATCGGTGAACTCATGTTAAACCGGCACAGGATCACTTACTGGGCCGGCATTGCGCCATCTTCAGTCAGGAACTCAAAGTAAAAAAAAAACCATGAGTAAAGAGACTCAGTGAGTGACCCTTGCCAGTACAACAAAGAAGAAGCCAGTCAAGCTGATGTCAAGTCCTCTCCTGTAATACAACTTCCAAATCAGCCGTTGAGTGGACAAGGAAAAAATAGCGCATATCGAACAGGCCTCTACAACAGATAAACTTGGAAACAAAATATTCTATTGTCTTAACCTCAATCAGCAGAGATCCCTTCTACTTCATACCTTTTGTTCTTCTTGTAGAACACCTCCTGTCCATTTTCTAACCTAACAATATCAGTGTTCTGATTCTGATCTGCATTCCGATAGATCTGCATAAAGAACTAATACATTTTCTAAGAAATATTGATTTCTAAAACATAAATCTTTTCAAACTAAACATTCTAAATGAAACAAGCAACTGTGTCTTATATATAAATAAATAAATTTAAATATGTACTTCTAACCATAAACAAAATTTCACTACATATTAAAATTAGCACTATTATATATAAAAAATAATGATTAAATAATTAACATTGTTCATCAACAAACTCCCAGGCGTTTGGGGTAGCTCTCACTGGAAAAAACACCCACCACTTTTATTTCATTTAATGCATAAGTTGAAGAATTAGTACTTCAATAAATATCAATGTATTTTGTATAAAATCTAAAAAATGTATACAATTATTTTAAAAGAATAAATTTTATTAATTTAAAAGTGAGGAAAAGGAGAAATAAATATATTTAGGTATTTAATTACCAAATTTTTATCAAGAAAAAAAATGGTCCAAATTTTATGCATATGGTCGGGAACATTAGAGGCTCTCAAAGAATTCCTACAACTAATTAATTCTCTACACCATAATATAAATTTTACATTGGAAATTGGCAAAGATGGCTGTTTGAACTTTTTAGACCTAAAACTGTCCATAATAAACAACCTAGTTGAAATAGATTTATATAGAAAACCCACAACTACAGACACTATGATACCAGCGGATTCTTCCCACCCATGGTCTCAAAAGGCTGCTGGTTTCATTTGGCTCATAGACCGGATGTTAAAACTTCCGCTAACACCTGATAACTATAAAAAAGAATTAAAAACTATTAAAACCTTAGCAAAAAACAACGGGTATCAAGAAATATTTATTGATAGGTTGCTAGTTAAAAGAATAAAAAAATTAACTTTAAACGAATCAACAATAGGACTCAGCCACCCCACCACAAATGAATCATTAGGTTTCCGTTGTTTGCCATACATTGGTGAATTATCGGAAAAAGTTAGTAAAATTTTTAAACAAGAAGGTTTTAGAATAGCTTTTAGAAGTACGGGTTCACTTAAAAACATCCTCTCAAAACCTAAAGACAAAGTAGACAACTTGGCAAAAAGCGGGGTTTACCAACTCAATTGTAATGATTGTGATATTAAATATATAGGACAAAGCGGTAGAGAAATAAAAACAAGAGTAAAAGAACACTTGCCTAAATCGAGCAAATTTTCGGAATTTAAGGACCATCTAAAAGAAACAAAACATAATTTCAATTCAAATTTAAATACAAGAGTGTTACATAGTTTCAACAAAGGGAAAGAACTAGATTGGTTTGAGAAATTTGAAATTAAAAAATGTAAAATTGAACATGGTGATAAATGCATTAATAATATAACAGATTTTGATCTACCTCCCATTTTAAATATGTACATAAATAAAAAATAACATAAATAAAAAAAAATAAAAAATTGGAACGTCGCGTTGGCGGAGGTATCAGCGGTTCACTTTGACAATTCATGTCGAGACGTGGTTGTAGAAGTCCTTCAACCTGATGATGAGCTAAAAGGCTCGAAATCCGGATCGTTGCAAAATAACTTACTGTGAGTAGGAACTATCTTTTTAAAAAGGATTGGTAGCTAAAATTAGGTAGTTCTGGTTGCAGCATTTCTTTTAATAATGTGAAAATCTTAGCTGTTTTGCTGATTTTCAAGTGTATTGGGCTTGCAAAACGGCAAGCTGGTTGGAGCGGCATAGTTTTATATCCCTTTAATATCCTTATTAGTGATATTTTTTTTACAATTCGTAATTTGTTGAGTTCTAAGGCATATAGGTGCGATATAGCCTACATAGAAATAATTGCTCGTTTATAGATAACTTCAAGAGATTTGCTTACCAGGCTTTAATAGACATTGGCAGGTTTTGATATCTTACGAAAAAGTTGTAATTCTAAGACAAACCATCCAATCACATAATTTTTATTTTCAAAAGATCGCTCGACAAACCGGTCAGGAGCTAAGATCGTGTATACGACCTTGGACCTATTTTCACCGAGGGCGAAAGTGGTTTCGAAACGCGACGCGACCGTTCAAAAACAGAATCTGCAGACGCCTGAAGAATTTATCCTTAGATCGAAATGTCCAGATGGCCGAGCCGGGCTAAAAGAAACAAACGGCAAACGCCAATTTTAAAAAATTATTGCTTTGAAAATCAGTCGAAAGACATACCGACGATGATTGTTTTATAAAACCGTATTGGACGAAATACAATCTTTTTGGATGTTTTTGATCGTGATCGTGGATGTTGGTTTTGCGAGTCGGTGAACCACGTGACACTGGGTCGGCCTAAACTCCATCTTTGCGCCATCTTCAATGAGATGGTTGAGGGACATCAAAACCCGTGGGTTTAGACGAGCATTTATCGTTAATGATAGTTAAAGTTTGATCTTTGGTTGGCTGATGTTTTTTAACAGTGTTTTTAACAGTTCGACTTTTCAACATCAACCCTGGTTTTAAAAAGAAAAGATAGTACAAAGGAAGAGGAAGAAGGAATTGTTATTATCGATAGTTTTCGATGGTCACAACTCTTCTCAAACAAGAAAAATATGGGAAAAAGCGGACTCGCGTTAATAAAGGTCATTCCCCCCAACCAAAATAAACCATAAATCTGAGATATGTTTATTTTAGTGACAGTACTAAAAGAAATAATCATTATTTTTGAGTTTGACAGGCCTTTTCAGCTTCGCTTCTGCGCCATCTTCAGTGAGGAACTGTTTAAGCGACATCGAAACCCGCGCTTTGGACGGACCCAGTGCTACTTCAAAAGTTTTCCATCATTGTTGATAGTTGTCAATGGTCACATCTCTTTCCAAACAAGTAAAATATGGAAAAAGCGGACTCATTTTACCTCAACTAAAAAAATCACAAATCTGAGATCTGAGAAAAGAAATAATCATATTCGAGTTTGACAGGCCTTTTCGGGTAGTCATATCGAAGAACCTTCGCTTTTGCGCCATCTTCAGTGAGAAACTGTTTAAGCGACATCGAAACCCGCGCTTTGGACGGACCCAGTGCTACTTCAAAAGTTTTTCATCATTGTTGATAGTTTTCAATGGTCACATCTCTTCCCAAACAAGTAAAATATGGAAAAAGCGGACTCATTTAACCTCAACCAAAAAAGCCACAAATCTGAGATCTGAGAAAAGAAATAATCATTATTTTCGAGTTTGACAGGCCTTTTCTGGTAGTCATATCGAAGAACCTTCGCTTTTGCGCCATCTTCAGTGAGGAACTGTTGAATGACATCGAAATTCTTTCAAACCAAAACAGATCACAACGCTGATATAAAAGAGAAATTCAAAGAAGTGACAATGCCAAAATAACTACTAAATTATTATTTTCTAATTCGACAGGCTTTCTGTTTGCCATATCGAAGAACGTACGCCTTTGCGCCATCTTCAGTGAGAAACTGTTTATGCGACATCGAAACCCGAGAGTTTAGACGGACCTAGTGCCAGTTCAATATGTTTTTGATCAATGATAGTTGTCAATGGTCAGACCTCTCCCCAAGCAACTAAAATATTGAAAAATGATTTTTAAACAAAGGACATTCTTCCTAACCAAAACAGGCCACAATTCTGAGATAATAGATAAATGCAATGTAATGACAGTGCAAAGGTAAATAGTAAATTATTAATTTCTAGTTTGGCAGGCCTTTGTTCGATATATCGAAGAAACTTTCCAGCAAGCGTACGACCAAGGCAGCATAAATTGTCATTTTTACAATTTTCCCATTGATGTGGTAACTGGGTCAAAATAAATGACTACTTTATCACGATTATAGTCCTGGTCGATGTCCTTTCTAATTTTTTTGTCTTACAGGCTAAAAGTTCGAAACAGCGCAAGAAGATATGACGTTGTCTGGTAAAACAGTTTTATTTAAAAGGAAATAAATTGAATGGGAAAAGTTTTTGCATAATAAATTAAGCTAATAAATAGGAAAAACTAGGAAATACTTTATTTTTTTTACAAATAAATACATATAACATTATAAAATCTACAATTATTTACAAAAGGTTTAAATCTAAACCAAAATATTGATCTTAGATCCGTTTAACGGTTCTGGACTTGATCACCCAATTTCGAAGATAACGGGTGAACCCAGACCAAAGTTCAGTAACGGGAAGACGGTTCGGCATCGCTCCACTAAGGTATTTTTACGCTGATGAAATTTCTGGGATCACCCACTTTCGGTGAAAAATTGATGTTGACCTTCCGCGGTTCGTCCTCAGTCCCGACGTCGATGAAGCTGTTCCAGTCGAAAAGAAAATAGAAACCGTTGGGTTTGGCGGTGGTCGTGTCACCGGTTCCTCCGAAGGAATCTCCCAAGACGGCACCCGTGTCGCCGGACAAGAGTTCAGGGTCGTCGTCAAGAGGAGTCGTCTTGGGCGGTTCGGTCGGTTCGGCCGTTGTCGAGTTCGGCTGCTGTCTTTTTATCTCGTTCTTCAACTCAGAAAGGGTGAAGTTGTCCGATAAAGGATCGATGTTATCCTGCTCGGCCAGCCTCGTACCGTTCTCCAAGGCTAGCAATTCCTTCACCTCCTCGCTGTTCAGATCGGTGGCATTCCCTTCGGAAATTTCCCGCAATCTGGTAAGGATCTCGTTGACCTTCTGCAGTTCCTCGGTATTGTTCTTGCTCAGTTTTCGAGGGTTGAAGATGAAGTTGTTCTTGGTAGGGGCGACGCCGAGGTCTTGTAGGACATCTTTGCCTGGGAGTTGTTCGACTGGGTCTATGTTGACAGATTTGGACTTTCTGTTGTCTAAGAGGCCGTACGACGAGAGGAAAGATTTCATATCTGGGGACATGCCTTCCGACTCAAAAGATAGCGGTTTGAACCTAGAATAGGACGAAGGGTCCACTGTGGGGGACACGTCTCCTTGGTATGTGATCTTTTCCGTCGTGGCAACTGGGCCAAGAAGACCGAAGCTACTCAGGAGCTCCTTCATGTCCGGTCCGAGAGACTCCGCCGCTACAAAGACGTCCGGATTGGAACCGACTTTTGTCGTCGTCGAGAAGCCGGGTGTCGTTTCAGTAGGTCTGACAGTCGTCGAAGATAATTTGACAGTCGATGAAGTCTCAAACGTCAATTCGGGTGTGACAAAAATTGGTCGAACATTATCCGATGCTGCTTTGAAACTAGGCTGAGTCGGATTTTCCGTCGTGCTGGTAGTCGTGGTGGTAGTGGACTGACGATAGACCGGCCTGACAGGCTTTCTTCTCCTTTTGATAGTTTTCCTCGTCGGTTTCGGCGTCGTCGTCGTGGTCGTCACGTTCTGAGGAAGGACGATCATCACGTCCTTTCCCTGGCGTATTTCAGAAATGAGAGAGAGAATTTCGCCCCTGGTCAGCCGAGGCAAGTTCGGGTCTTTGGCGAGGAGAGATTCGACTTCCTTCACAGCCTCGACGTCCAGATTGTTGTCGATCACATTTCCCCTCGAATTGGCTGCGAGCCATAGTAAAACGAGAGCTAACCACTGAAACAGACATATAAAACGTTGACACCTTTTATTTAAAAAAATTAAAAATATGCAAAATATAACACACGTCATATTTTGTTAAAAGTGTGTATTTCCATGTGATTTGGGTGATATTGACATGTATGCCAATCTAAGGCACTTCAATGGCTCTCTTGCTCCTTTTCCCGAGATATCTGAATCCATCATCTGACTTTTGATTTTCGAAATATTACCTTTATTGAGGAAAAAGGTTTCTTCATAGGCCTAACATCACAAATCTGTTAACACTCCAGCATTGCACTTAGTCTTTCGATAAAGGCCTTCAAGTTGTCTGCATCTACACTTATCTAAGGACTTTGATCATGCTTTCTTGGCTAAACTTGAGTCCTATGGTGTTCATGGTAACCTACTATGACTGAACTGGTAGGTCCTCAACTACATGAACCGAAAGACATTTCGATCAATTCGGAAGTTACTCGAGAATCTCATTTAGGGTCATTTCTTTTTAATATTTTTATTAACGATATCAAATTCTCTCCTTTACTAAAGTTCCTCCTATTCACAGATAACCTCAAAATTTATCTAAATTTATCTATCCGTAGAGTTGATGACATTTCCCTTCTTCAAGAAACTTTTCATGTCTTAAGTGAGTTGACCAAAATCATTTGGATTTGAATATTTCCAAATGCTCTTCCTATTCTCGACATTCCATACTCTTCTTCATACTTATAATTACACTCTTTCCGTCTAGAGTCTCATATGTAAGAGATCGTTGGGTTATGATGGAAGTTAAGTAATCGCTCGAAGAAGACTTTTTTTTAAAAAAGAAGAAACTTTATTGTCAAAACTGTACAATGTTTAATTTTAAACCGACAGAGTGACGGGCAAAAGGCTATCGTAAGAGTAAGGCAAGGATATTTGGGGTTAGGGTTTTTATACTAGTTTAAAGAAATGCTGATTAGACGTTGGGCGGCCGTCTGGACCCGCTACCGCTAAACTTTGCTGACGTGTTGGTCTGAGGGGCGTTTAGTTGTTCCATAACTTCGACGAAAAGTTGGCCTTCTGTAATCACATCCCTTTCATAAAAAAACAAATCGTTTAAAGCCTTAGTTTTAATTAATCGAAATACCCGAGGCATCACCAATCAAGAATCCACTGTCACTCTCTATAAGCTGTTAGTTTTGCGTACACTAGCGTATGCTTCTATCCTCTGGAATCCCTTCTACCACAAATATTCTTACTTTCTTGAGTCTGTTCTTTGAATAGGTTCTGAAGTTCGAAGTAATGTCTAAATTATGAGTTATAAATGCTAGGGGTCTAAGAAATCTCTGGAATCTCTTCCACCACAAATGTTCTCATTTTCTTGGCTCTGTTCAAAGAACATTTCTTAGACTCTTAGCATTTATAACTCACAAGACATAATTTATAGATTACTTTGAACTTCAGAACCTATTCAATATTCCCAGCCATCATACAAAGATACCTTAGTCATTCTCGATGGTTTTGTCTATCAGACATCATCATTTCGCCATTCCCTGTGGTTGGTCTCTGAAGAACAAGTTGCAAGTTCAGTCACAGATATCAACAGATCCACCACGATATAAGAATTTGTTGACGTGTTATTATAACTAAAATGATTAAGAATACAAGTAATCAATATGGCAGCAGGTACAAAATAAAACTCCTCCTAGAGTTCTAATATGGTACACAAATAGATGCAAAATTAAAAAAAGTAGCGAGAGTCAAAACTCCTGGCTTAAGAATACGTCAGATATTACTGTTAATATTAAATCATAACTTTCAATTAATTAAGGTTTTTAGTTGAGATAAAAAAGTCAGTGTCACGAGCGGGATTCGAACCCACGATCTTCGGCTAGATACGCCGCTGCTCTACCACTTGAGCTATCGTGACCTCGATCCACTCGGGAAGGAGAAATTAAATCATAACGTCTAAAAACTTAATCATCCTAGTAAGCTCATCGTCGATGTGTGTCAGATTTCAACATTTCACCATTTCCAGGATATCTGAAGTCACTTCAACACTTAAAAAGACCCACCACAATAATTTCAAACCTAAGAAAGCGTTTAAATTCATTAAGGAGAGTGCATTTTTCGAGTTATGTAAATAAAAGTAAGGCTAAGTCTAAATTGTCGAATATTATGCTGGAGCTCAACCATCCACTTTTAAAAAGTAAATCGGATATCTATTTGCACGTGCTTTGGGTGATATTCCAAAATTAGCTTAATGCTTGGGTCTTCTATTGACACTCAAAGAAATATTTACTGAGGTGTTTCCGAGCTGAAATGCTTACTATCCTAAAGGCACTTCAATAGCTTTCACTCAAAGACGGAGAGTCGAATATCTCTGGGCATACTTCTAAACAGTAAAGAAAGAAACTCACAGTTCTCAGAAACTAAATAAAATCAATGCGTGAGAAGGAAGATAAGCATTGAGAAGGAACAAGCATGAATCAAGATTCTGGAAAACGAAAAACGGTGCAGCAAAAGAGGTTCCTGGATGCAGTAATGTTCACAGCACAAAAACAGCTATGAGAGGAAGAATTGGTGTTTCGTTGACTAAAGTCTCGATAGCTCGATTAGTAGAGCACCCTAGTGGTACTACAGTCGGCGGTCGTGGGTTCAATCCTGCTAAATAAGTACAAAAAAGCCACAACAAAAACAGTGTGGTTGAGTAGGAGGAAGGGCGAATATTATGCTGCGACCCAGTTTAAATGGGTCATAAACGCTAAGAAACCATGGGTAAATCCGAATCTATGTAGATGAAACATCGGCCCGGATGCAGCCTGCTTACGATACCACATAGTTCCACAATTTGGACATATGCCCTAATCAAAAAGCGTTATGTGCAAAGCTGGTAGAAAAAGTCGTACTGAATTTGTAGACCTTAATGTAACTAAACTGTAAATGGTTAGGACGACCTGTCTGTAATCATTACGGGAACAGGTAAAAAAGGGCCTCCTAGGGCCTAATATGGTATACCAATAGATCCAAAATGGAAAAAGGAGTAGAGTCAAAGACCACATGCATCTCACCAAGCAGTCGACAGAGACGATGCCCACAGTGTGATGGCAGTACGTAACATACTGGTGGAGTGTGAGAAACTAAAACATTAAGGTGTGGCCTACCCCCAGATTAAAAGACAGTGCATAACACTGGCTAGGCAGAATTTATTAGAATAATCTTATGGAATGACTGAAAGGAGTGATCGTCGGCGGAATATGGCATGTTAGTAGATGAATGAGTGTATTTATTTGCGTGTTGCAAGTAATTATTGGTGAGTGAATGAACATCGAGTGTTGGTATATGCTGGCATGTGATGTAAATATGTCCCAAGTCATTGCAACCATAAGGTGAGCATTAGATTGGAGCAATTTCAAGTGAAAAATGCAGAGAGAAAAAATGTTGGGTGCCGGCTATGACCTAGCTGTTCGCCGGCCAAAAAAAGGTTAAAAGGAGCAAATTTTTTCTTACCAAAACTCCTAGCTTCATAATAGGTCGTACATTACTGTTAAGCTTAACCGAGAAAAGTTACTTAATCTTCCAAAATCTAGTGAGTACTCCCGATGGTTTTGTTTGTAAGACTGATTTCAACATTTCACCCTCTCCTATGGGGGATCTAGACAACAAGCTGCAAGTTCAATCATTAGACAACATCAACAGACCAACCACAATAATTTAAAACCTAAGAAAGCGTTCAAATTCAAGGGGAATGCACTTTTCAAAGTATGGAAATAAAGGCTTTAGTCAAGATTGGATATTAAGCTGGAACTCAACCATCCCCTTTTCATATATTAATTAGATGTCTATATGCACGTGCTTTGGGTGATATTGGTAAGGTTCTTCCAACATTAATTTAATGTTTGAATCGTCTATTGAGGCTGAAAGAAATGAACAAAATATACGATGACAAATCAAACCAACGGTAGGCAGACTAAAATGACCGGAAACTACCAAATAGAGGTTCATCACTCAGTATACCAAAATGAAGCAATACAAAAAGGTCGTTATCCTTTCAAACTAGGCATAAAACCTGGTGAAATGTTGTTGGACGCGGGCGTGTCTGAAAGCGAAAGTGAAAGCATCCGGGACTAAAGAAAGGCTTCTTAGCTGCCAGAGGGTCGCAGAACCTTGAGCACAACGCCCTTCAACTTTCTTCGGCCCGTATTGCGCAACGGTAAACACTTATTCATTATTCAACGATTTAGCAAGGTTCGCATCGGCTCCTCCCTTTGTTAAACAACGTACGGGCTTGGAAATATGCTAATGAAAGTGTAATCGTCGTAGACCGGCCGGTATGTCACAACCAGCATTTCTTTCTCCATCTTAACAAACCTTAAAAAAAAAATTATATAAACAGAATCAACTTGGAAGAAAGATTGATAAAAGCGTCGGTTAAATAGTGCCGAGGTTTTTTTTTCAGTACAGTAATTACTAGAAAGTAGTACACGAGCAGGGTGGTTATTTCATTAGACTTGAAATACATTGAACCTAAAAAAAAGAAAAATACTGGCTTTCAACGACTATTACCGAAGTTCTTTACTTTTGAGCTTTAAAAAAAAATGTTATTTATTAATTTTGTATGTATTTTTATTTTGGGACGGCTTCCTGTTAAGTGCAGCTGAACTGACGGCCAATATTACTGAAATGTCAAATGTATGTACATCCCTACTGTAATTTTAAATTATTATGTGCCAAATTTTCAGAAAAATGGTCAAACTAGAATTGGGTGTTTGTTTGGGGTTTGATTTTAAAAGGGTAAAGATCCTTGATAATGCGATACGTTATGTACAAGGGTAGTGCCAGGAAGTTTGGCAGAAATCAAATGGAAAGAAAAATGTAAAATTTTGAAAAGTATACTATATAAAAAAGCAGGGAAAAGGAGGGAAAATTCAAAAGGTGGGGTTGAGATGGGAAGTTAGTAGAAATGATAAATGATGGAGTCAGTGTGGTGTTCAATCCTTTTTAAAAGGTTAGTTCCTACTCACAGTAAGTTGTTTTGGAACGATCCGGATTTCGAGCCTTTTAGCTCATCATCAGGTTGAAGGACTTCTACAACCACGTCTCTCGACATGAATTGCCAAAGTGAACCGCTGATACCTCCGCCAACGCGACGTTCCAATTAGCAGCTGATTTTTTTAATGGCGCTCAATTTGAACGTGCGATACGCGGAAATTATAACACAAATAAATATTATACTAGTAAATACTTTTTTTTTTAATAGAAAGGTTTTAGAAAGTTTTTTTTAGTAAATACTTAATATTATTAAATTACTATAATAATAATAACAATTAAAATAATTAGTTTAATTATTTGGATGTTTGATATTATTTATGTACATATTTAAAATGGGAGGTAGATAAAAATCTGTTATATTATTAATGCATTTATCACCATGTTCAATTTTACATTTTTTAATTTCAAATTTCTCAAACCAATCTAGTTCTTCAGTAGAAGTCCTTCAAACTGATGATGAGCTAAAAGGCTCGAAATCCGGTCGTTGCAAAACAACTTACTGTGAGTAGGAACTATCTTTTTAAAAAGGATTGGGAAGTTAGTGTCCGTGTGGATCGAGACACTGATATCGTGGGTTCGAATCCCGCTCGTGACACTGATTTTTTATCTCAACTAAAAACCTTAATTAATTGAAAGATATTAATTGGTCAAGCGGACCACGAAAACTAGTGAATGTATACTACATAACTATACAAAAATAGTAATTTATTTTTGTAAACTGAACACATATAGTATATTATTTTTTAATTAAAAATACATATTGACTTAATCAGACATAGTACAACGTTTAAAAATATACAGCAGAAATATTTATCTCAACCAAAACCTTAATTAATTGAAAAGAATTTATTTGATCAAGCGAACCACGAAACATAATAAAAAGTTCAAAAATATAAACACTTTTAATTCGATGGTGAAGAGAAAAAAATGAACTTCAGGCAAGGACGAGCTTTTAGCCATTAAATTAGCCCTTTTTAATTTCAAAACGAACAATTTTTTCGCATCAAAACCATTTTTAATTTCATTAACCTTTTTTACCTTGATTTATAATTTTCACATAGTGTGGTTGAAATGAATTTTTTTTATTTTTACCTTCTAATCAACACGATTTCAAATAAACTTTTTTTAAAATTTCCAAATTAACATTTCCTTTAATACCATATAGTAACAAACTTACACCATGGTATGAAATGCCTGTAAAGTAAAATTCCTGTATATTTAAGAATTTTGTTTTATTATAAATTAATAATAATTATTATAAAATTATATGAAAATTAATTACAATTGAAATTTGAAATTGCACAAAATTAAATGCATACACCCATAGGTTTTTCCGAAAAATATTCCCTTTTTATAGTCAACTAATTTTAAATCAATTCTTTTTAGTATTAAATTTGACCTTTTTAAATTCAAAATGAACCATTTTTTCGCACCAAAACCAGTTTTAATTTCAAATTAACCTTTTTTTAAGCTTGATTTATAATTTTTATATATGTGGTTGAGATGATTATTTTATTTATTTTATTTTTACCTTCTAATCAACATATTTTAATTTCAAATTAACCGTTTTTGATTTCAAATAACTTTTTTTTTAATTTCCAAATTGACCTTTTCTTTAAAGCATAATAGACTTAGACTATGGTATGAAATGCATGTAAAGTAAAATTCCTGTATATTTAAGAATTTTGTTTTATTATAAATTAATAACAATTATTAGAAGATTATATGAAAATTAATTACTATTAAAATTTAAATTTGTATAAAATTAAATACATACCCCATAGGTTTTTTCCGAAAAATATTCCCTTTTTATAGTCAACAACGTTAATTTTAAATCAATTCTTTTTTCCACTAAAGTAACCCTTTTCGCATCCAAATATCATTTTTAAATCCAAATTATTTTAATTTCTAACTAATCCATCGTTTAAAGCAAAAATTAACCCTTTTTAATTCCAAATGAACCATTTTTAATGTTAATTTAACTTTTTTAAATTTTAAATTAACCCTTTTAAACTTCAAATTAACCTTATTTTAATTTCAAATTAACCCTTTTTAACTTCTTTTCAATTCTATTAATATCAAATTAATGCTTTAAGATTGAAATTAATCCTTTCTTTAAAGCATTAAAAAACCTTGATGAAATATAAACATGAAACGTAAAATTCCTGTATATTTGAATTTTTTTAAATATAAAATAATTTGACAACACACACAATTAACATTAAAAATTATGTACAATTAAATATATAGCTTTTTTTCATCAAATTAAGCACTTTTAATATCAAACTATCTCTTTTGAACCAAAAATTAACCCTTACAAATTAAACCAAATGAACCATTTTTAATGTTAATTTAACTTTTTTAAATTTATCGTGTAATGTTAATTTAACTTTTTTAAATTAATCCTTTTAAACTTCAAATTAACATTATGTTCATTTCAACTTAATCTTTTTTTAACTTGTTTTCAATTCTTTTAATTTCATATTAATGCTTTAAGATTGAAATTAACCCTTTGTTTAAAACATTAAAAAACCTGGATGGTATGAAATATAAACAAGAAACGTAAAATTCCTGTATATTTGAATTTTTTTTAATATAAAATAATTTGACTTTTAGAAAATCTTGTGAATATTAATTAAAATTAAAAATTAAAAACATATAAAATTAAATATAAAAGAAAATATTTCTTCATTTAAATTGAGATTTTTACAAAATAATTGGACGCTTAGAAACCACATGAAAATTATTTACAATTAACATCACAAATTATATGAAATAAAATTTTAACGAAAACGGTTGTTTTTTTAATTGAGAAATGTGAGTTATGGTTAATGGTTTATTAGAGGCTAATTTTTTATATTTAAAAATTCTCGAATTACAAAAAGAATAATTTGTTTTTATGATCAATTTCGTATTTTTAATTTTAATTATATTATTTAATGGTATTCAAAGAGCACAATTATTTTATTTTTTTTTTTTTTTTAATAGGGATTTACATCTACCATATCAAACGAATTATTTTAAAATTAAAAAGGGTTAATTTGAAACTATTAATGTTTAATTTGACTGATTAGATTAAAAGCTATTAATTAATAATAGTGTGCAGGCTATCCGCCGGATTTACCTCTTTAGATTATTATCTGTTCCGGTCAATGAAAAATGATTTAGTCAAAAATTTTGGGGTCAATGTTAAAAAGTAAAACCCTAATCGAGAGTTTTGTGGTCCTTAGTAGTTTTTGTGCTTGCGATCTGTTCGTCAGTTTATATTACAAAGTACAAGACATCCAAAACGATACATTTTTTGGAATATAATTCTAATTATTACGAAAAACACGGAAGAAAGCGAAGGCGGGTGATGAAAATTGTCTTCGAGAAAAAATTTTCACTCCGGATGTGAGATCTCGGCCCGTTCCGGCTACGACTCGCAGGTTATCCCCATTCTCAAGACGATTATCATTATTATGGCCATGTTATGCAACAATATATAAGAAGAAGTCGTACATAGAATTTTTCGACAAATTGTAAATTCTTGACCAACTTGAAACTGCTCAAAATTCAACTTAAAGCGTCATTAAAAATATAGAAGTTTTACAATGGAAATTATAATATTTGACAGAAATTCAATTAATGAAGGTTTTTAAATGAGATAAAGTCAGTGTCATGAGCAGCTATCGTGAATTCTAGCTCAAGCGGTAGAGTAGCGGAGTATCAAGCCGAAGGTCGTGGGTTCGAATCCCGCTCGTAACACTGATTTTTTTATCTCAACTAAAAACCTTCATTAATTGAATGATATTAATTGGTCAAGCGGATCACGAAAACTAGTGACTTTTTCAGAAACTTGAATCATAACTTTCTCTCTAGAATAGATTTTGGAATTTAGACGTTTATAGGCAATTGTGTCATATAAGCTGGTTGCACAAGAGATTTCAAAACGAAAATTTTACAACTGGATATATTTTGGCTTTCTGAACAATGATCCGTTATAAAACTTGGTTTTTCCATTTTCGTAATAGCTCTTAATCCGGTTTCAAGACAATTGTTTTTATATAATATTGTTTGTGTACAATCCCTAGATTATTGAAGCGAAAGTGTTTCTGAATTAAATAAAAATATACTTTCTTTGAATATAGATCGAATTATTTTAAACGTCTTGAGCCTGGACATATGTCGTTTGTGTGAGGGACCCCGACTGAAATTTTTCCAGTGATTTGTTCTGCCGATCGGATCATCAGACACCACTGCAACGACTCCCTATTGAATAAATAAATAATAATATTTAATAAATTTTGTGAGAATAAATAACGTTTAACGTTGCCGATCGGATAATGGAAAACAGAAATTGTTTCGACGGGATTCCTTGAAGGGCCGAAAGAGTGAAAATTTCCAAAAGAATCCGGATATGAGCACTTAACTTAAGCAAAACCTGAGACAGGAAAAAAGCTTTCGTAGCTGACATGAAGTAGTACTTGACAGATAAATAAAATAAGTGCCAAATCAAGTAAGTAAATGTTAAGGCGCCGGGAACTGCTCAAATTGAATATTTAACTTCTGAATAATCTCGGCCTCGAATTCTTAAGAAGACTCTTGTTGAATTTGTCCAGATCCGGAGGAAATTCCCTGTTTGAAATTACGGCAAGTCGAAAGAAAATAAGAAATACGTACCATCTCCGTGGAGGTGCATGAAATACTGAACTCGAGGGCCTCAGTTTGGAGGGGACTTCCTTCCCTTTCTTGCTTCTTGCTGACACACTTTCCAGTTTTTATTTTCGTTTTGTACCGTTCGTTAGAGCCCAAGTTTAGCAAATAGGGAAATTCAGTTGCACAAAATCAAATAGACACGTGCTGTATTTATTCGCGTGAATTGATTATGGAGAAAATATAAAAAGTCAAGAAAAACCAAAAATAAACATAATTAAAAGTCTTGTAGAATAATTTCTAGTTTGGTTGAATTTAAAAGCAAATGTCAAATATCAAACCATAAAAGTATTATAACTTTAACATTAACTTTATGTACAAAACTTATTTTCCCTTGTTATATTTTTATTTTTGCACTGCACAAGAAATCATACAGTTTATTGTATGTCGTTTTGGTGAATGAGGAAAGAAGAATTTCGTAGTTAATATCTTCTCCTAAGATGCTACTTCTTTCTTCTTTGCTTCTTGCATCTCATTATGATGTGCTGGAGATCTTCAACGCAACCGCACACTTGGCATTGAGGTGAATCCTTTTTCCCTATTTATTGAGATAGTTGCCACATAGCCCATGATTCAGCAGTCTATTTATGGTCGTGGTCTGTGCCCTGTCGTAGTAATCTCCACGGTACCAAGGCTCTCGTCCTACTAAGGGGAAAATTCTTTTGAAAAATTGGCCTGCTCCTGCGGATGAATAGGTCAATTGCCAGTCCACGAGAAGAGTCAAATGTAGGGATCTTTTTATGTCTTTTTTTGGAACTGGTATGGCCAATGTGAGTCCAGACTCCGTTGCTTTTTTGGGTAATTTGTCAGCTATTTTATTACCTTTTATCCCCATTTGCGCTTGTATCCACACTAATGAAACTTCCAGCCCATCCGACTGTATTTCTTGGATACACTGGAGAATTCTCATTAGTAAATGCTCCGTGATAAAACCCTTCTCATTCCCTTTTAGTTTATCCACTACGCTCTTACTATCTGAGCAGACCACCGTGTGTCTAATTTGTTTTTGTTTCGCATATTCTAGTGCCTTTAATCTTGCGACCAATTCTGCAGAGTTCATTGACAGATTATCTGGCAGTCGAAACATTGGTTTCAGATTTGCTTTGGGATCGTAAAAAGCACAACCTACTCCCTTTGTTGTAACCGAACCATCCGTGAATATGTAGTGTCCATTTGGAAAACTGGTCTTTAATTCGGACCAACACAGTTGGTTTGCTATGCTAGCTGGGTGTTGGCTATTTTTGTTGCATAATTTAACATCGGGACTTTTAAATTTTGTGACATATTCCGCTTGGAATGCCGGCAGAACACTGTTTTTCTCCACCTTCTCTTGTATTGGTGCCATATCCGTAAATACCTCTGCTAACAAAGGCATTGACTTTTTCCCCCAGTATTTTTGTGTTAAAGTGAGGAGAGTTAAGGTGGATATTCTCCCAACCAGTTCTGATTTTCTCGCCATCAGGTTGGTCAGAAGCCTTCCCGCCAAAAGTTTGCGTCGTAGATTCAAGGGGGGTTCATTGGATAACACCCTCATTGCATCCACTGGGGTACTTGGCAACACTCCTAAGCATATCCGGAGGGCCTTATTTTGGACGATATCCAGTTTATTTAGTGTCGTTTTGGGTACTTCTCCAAAGAAAATGGAGCCAAAGTCGAGAACTAATCTTATGTTCGCTTTATAAAACATTAAGCTGACTTTTATATCCGAGCCCATTCTGGGATGAGAGATACAATGGAGGATATTGCACATCCGATAAGCTTTCATTGTTATTTTTTGTATATGGCTTTTCCAGCCTTCCTTATCCTCCTACATAAGCTAACCATAACGAGCTTTTACATACAAGGATACACAGACGACATTGTCATAATAATCAAAAGCAAATCGACCAGACTCTTCTCGAATTATTGCAAAAAGTCTTAAACTTAACATTGAAATGGCGCCAGGAAAAGGGTCTAAATATAAATCCCTCTAAGGCAACAATTCTGCCATTCTCCAGGAAAAAGAAGCAAAATATTACAGCTTTAATCTTGCAAAACAAAAAAAAAAGAATACCAAAGAAGTTACTTATCTGGGAGTAGTTCTTGCCTAGGTTAACATGGAATGCAACATAAGGGAACCATGTTTTAAAGGCACAATGGGTATGCCAAATACTAGAAAAACTTGGCGACTAAATCTTAGACCTTATGGTTATACCTTTTGTCAGACCCCACGATCAAGTTACATAGTGGCCAAAAATAGACAGAGGAAACTGTACAAAAAAAAAAAAAAAAAATCTAAAGAATAGCATGCTATTTATAAAGTTTTATAAAGTTATTTATAAATTTAGGCCTTTTCCCAAATTGTTATACCATTGAATGTTTGTCTGCTGGTGTTTGAATGAGAATTGTGTGTGCAAGATTTCTTTCTTTTTTTCATTTTGTACATTATGAGAAAAATGTGCTGGATATCGTTTATATTTTCGACCGCAAAACCTGTGAATACAAATTTTTGAGAAAATCAAAAAAATAAATTCAAATTTTTGCCATAAATGATTGGTATTTTTTTAAGCAAAACTACAAAAACTGTGATAACTTTAGCAAAAAATTCCATCTACGGATGTTACCTTTACAAGCGAATTTTCTTTTTCAACCTTATTTTTCTCTCTTGTAACAACAAATACCCTAAATATTGATGACATAGGAAAGAAGAGAGGCGACCCTTTATAATAGTTGTAATAATGTTAACTTTGGATAAAATCCAGCGGATGTGCAAGTTTTTATGTGGAAACACCCCACATAGTCAGGGAAAAAATACCTCTGGCTGATCCAGCCCAAAAATTTCAATTTTTTTGTTTGTTATAATTTCTTTAAACAAACCTTTTTTTTTGGTTACGGGAAGCATATTTTAGGTTNTTTTTTTTTTTTTTTTTTTTTTTTTTTTTTTTTTTTTTACGAGCGTTCGCGACAGCAGAGGTCATATAAACCCTCAGGGTGCCAGTGTCTTTGAAAAAAAAACCATTTGTAAGTATGTCGGGTTCAAATGCAGGGCCGCTGGATTTGAACCCGGGACCTTTACCTTACAGTGATGAGTGCCGTGACAAAGACTAAACCTTGCAGCCACCGACGCACAGTGGGACGAAAGGCCCAAAATCTCTGACATGGACCAAGAATGTTTTTCTGTTCCAAACCCCTACCTATTTATACCCTCTTACAACCTTTTAGATACAAGAAAATGCAGCAATTTTCCTGGATACAAAGTAGCATCGTTGTGTATATAAAAAAAATATTAGAAATCGACAAGAGAGAGTTAAACATTCGTGAAATTATATCTCTTACAACTTTAATTTTTTCTTGGTTTTCTAATGATGTTACCTGTGAAGTCAGTTTTTTGGAGCTTTTTTTAATGTTTGGATCAGGGCTTTGTAGCACTCAGAAGGGATGTAGCTTACCTAAGATAGAAGTTCAATTAATTAAGGTTTTTAGTTGAGAAAAAAAAGTCAGTGTCACGAGCGGGATTCGAACCCACAACCTTTGGCTAGATACACCGCTACTCTACCACCTGAGCTATCGTCACCTCGATCCACTCGGACACCAAATTCCCATCTCAACCCCACCTTTTGAATTTTCCCTCCTTTTTGCCATTTTTCAACTAAAAACCTTAATTAATTGAATGATATTAATTGGTCAAGTGGACCACTAAGATAGAAGGTTTGGATGATAGAGCATGAAAATGACCTTAGCCGTTACGCCTTTAAAAATTAAATAATAATAATAGCATGCTAAAATGTAAACTCAAGATACCACGTTTGCCTGTATGTGTGAAAAGGATGGTGGTGATCAAATAACTGAGAATTCATCGAACAATGTTAAGAAAACGTCAAACAAGTATTAGCCGTAAAAACTATCATATATTCTTAAAAATGGGTACCATGCTACATGATCTTGGAAACATTCTTGATAAAACTTTGTTGAAAGGCTGTTCTCTTCATAAACTGATGTTAACAGCTGTTCAGATTTCAAGCATTGAGTTGCTCACCCCCACCTTAGTTATTTCAATTCTTTACAACATCTTATAAAGTCTCAACAGACTACTACAAAGAAGAAAAATTCAGGAGGGAATCAGATACAATAATATGGTATACAGATGCAAAACAAAGGATCAGGCATTTTCTGTACAAGCTCAAAATATGAGCGATTGAACTCATTAGGGAAGTATACCTCAGCTTTTCAAAATGAAATACATCCCAACAACACTTGTGCAGAAGATTTTAAAAGAAGTCATACTAATAAAAAAATCCTCATAAGATCAGATAGCCAAGCATTAATGGCAATTAAAGCATTAACCTGTAAAAAAATCACATCAAAATTAGTCAGTGAATGCATTCAAAATCTACAAAACGCAACAACCATGATATCAAGAGTACTGGAATACAAAGGAATTTTGGGTAATGAAAAGGCAGACAAATTGACAAAAGGAGGATTTGCAAGATCATATATAAGGCCCTGAATCTATATTTGGGATGAAAAACACAAACCATCTCAGATTGGATATAAAAAAGACAAAAGGAGAAGTGGATAACAGGTGCAGGATAAAGTAAGCTTATGTTAAAACATCCCTCACCAAAACTGGCACACTAATTTCTACAGTTAGAAAGAAACCTCTCAGAAGAGTGTTAGGACTATGTACTGGTCACTGGCATCTATATAACATGGGTATAGGCAATGATGATCTCATTTGTAGGTTATGCAATGAGTATAGAAAAAAAAGCCACCAATGAATGCAAAGCAACAGAACTTAGGATACAAAGAAAACACAGGAAAATAAATTGTAGCAAAGACAGTCAATAACCTAATACTTCTGAAAAGAAGAATCAAGTCAATTAAACTAGGAAAACTACAATAAGCCAGAAAGCTCCACTTCTTAGATTTCCATCATCAGCATCATCATTATTTTTGAAGAAAGCTGATTGGAAAAATAAAACAAAACAAGATAAACCTGGAGCTCCGCTATGGTATACGAACAACTGTGGATAGAATAGGGCTATTTCATATTAAAAAATACTAATTATTGAACAAGAAAAATATGCGAATCTTTGCTTTGTGGGAAACATTTTTTCCCTTAAGCTTGGGATGAGCAGGTTCCTCAGACTTGACAAGTGCCCATGGTTTACACTAAATAGAACAAAATTAGAGAGTCCACATTATCATCTACTTTGACAATAAAATATGACGACTTATATTTACAAAATTATCAATTATTTAAGAAGAATAAGTTAGGAAGATTTGTTTTCCGGCACACTAATTCTAGAAGAAATCTTGAAGAACAGCAGACTTCTGAGATCTGACAATTCATTGCATGTAGTAAGTTTACTCAAATTAGAAGAATATGGATAGAACATTATTACATCACATTAACAAATGTCCAATCACTGTGAAAGAAAAAGATGTGAAGGTTTGTATTTTTATAAACTAGTTTTGGTTGAAATTATAAGGAACAGCAGACTTCTTCTACCTGACAATTAATTGCATATTGTTTACTTGAATCACAAGAAAATGGAGAGAATATGACTACTTCAAAATAACAATCAACATGAATGAAAAAGATGTGAAGGTTTGTATTTTTGAAAACTAATTTTGGATGAACTTGTAGGGAACAGTAGATTCATCAGACCTGACAATTACTTGTTATTAACCTCAGATAGAATAAAAATATATAGAACACAACTATGTACTTCATATTAAAACACTACCATTATTGAAAAAGAAAAAGATGTGAAGGTTTGTATTTTTGTAAACCAATTTTGGATGAAATCTTGGGAACAGCAGATTTCTCAGACCTGACAATTACTTGTTGTTTACCCCAAATACAACTACTTCAAATTAACAATAAAAGAAAAACTACTAATTTCCGAACAACATAAAAATGTTTCAAAATAATTTTGGATGAAATCTTAGGGAACAGCAGACTTCTCAGACCTGACAATTACTAGTTGTTTACCCCAAATACAACTACTTCAAATTAACAACAAAACAAAAGCTTCTAATTACTGAACAACATAAAAATGTTGCAAAATAATTTTGGATAAAATTTTGGGAACAGCAGACTTCTCAGATCTGACAATTACTAGTTGTTTACCCCAATTATAGCTATTTCAAATTACCAACAAAACAAAAGCTTCTAATTACAGAACAACATAAAAATGTTGCAAAATAATTTTGGATGAAATCTTAGGGAACAGCAGACTTCTCAGACCTGACAAACTACTAATTACTGAACAACATAAAAATGTTGCAAAATAATTTTGGATGAAATCTTAGGGAACAGTAGATTTCTCAGACCTGACAATTACTTGCTGTTTACACCAATTATAACTATTTCAAATTAACTATAAAAGAAAAACTACTAATTACTGCACAAGATAAAAATGTTGCAAAATAATTCTGGATAAAATTTTGGGAACAGCAGATTTCTCAGACCTGACAATTACTTGCTGTTTACCCTAATTATAACTATTTCAAATTAACAACAAAACAAAGCTTCTAATTACTGAACAACATAAAAACACGAATGTTTGTTTTTTAAGCGTTCTAATGTCAGATTCTTCATACAGCAGATGTGATTTTCACAAAGCCAAAAAAATTTTTGATCCTTGAGTATTCTTTGGAAAAGAGCTTATTTATTCCCAATAGGACAATATAGAATATCAAATTAAAAATAAAAACTACTAATTATTGTACAAGTAAAAGATGTGAATGTTTTTTTTGTCAATCAATTTCTGATGAAATCTTGGGTATGCTTGGAAACAGGAGCTGACTTATCAGACTTGACATTTACTTGTTATTTATACCAGAACAAAAATAAAATATTAAAATTGGTTTTAATATCGTCAACACTTCTCATTATTATAATTTAAAAAAAAAATTAACAGTATTGTCATATGATTTATGAAGTGCTATAGAATGGATAATCATTGTTTTATTGATAAAAGCAGGAAGACAGTAAATATGATTTTATTATTAATTAACCATTTGCCGTTGAAATAGCATTGGAGAAAAATTAAGGCCCGTGGAAAAATATGTTTGAACCATAAAATCTGTCGATTATAGTGATCTTGGAAAGGAGTTATTTTTTTTTTATAATTCAGGCCAATTAATAACACAAAACCGAAACCGGTAATATTTTTTAAAATATTCAGGGCTGTTAAGTATATAGTGATATTTTTTCGTTTATTATTCGTCTATTTTGTAAGAAAAGTTGTCAGGTAGCAAGTTAGTTGCCTTTTTGTTAAATTGTTCTACCTTTGTTTGGCCAGTTAGTAACCTCCTCTCTTTAATCTACTCTCTAGGAATTTGGAGTAAGTTTAATCTTTAATAATCCGCTCGTAAAAATGTCTGTTACTGCGTTCTTGAAGAAATTGTGGCACATGGTTTGCGATGAAAAGACCGAAGAAGTAATTTCGTGGTCTGAAAACGGAAAGTGCTTCATCATCAAGGATCAAATCGTGTTTACATCCGAGCTACTTCCAAAGTACTACAAGCACAACAATCTTTCCAGTTTCACCAGGCAGCTGAATAAGTACGGCTTCAGGAGGGTGTCTAACCCAGAATCCTTCTTCGTCTATTTGGCTTTCGAACACCCTTCGTTCGTCAAGGGCGACTATAGCTCTATGCTCCAGATAAGGAGGAAAATCAGTTCGAAATGCAGGTCCGTAGAGGAGAAGGAGGACGACCCTCAAGGGTCCAACGATTCCAGTCTCGAAGCGCAAATCCGTCAGATGCGTGCTCGTCAGGAGGAGGTCGAGACGCAGCTTTCCGCCAACAAGATCGAAAGGGACGCGTTATGGAGAGAGCACTCCATCCTACGCCAGAAGCAGCAACAGCAATCCCAGCTCATAAACAGCCTCATACAGTTTCTCATTTCTCTCATACGTCCTAACAACAATGTTAGACGCTCTGTGCCACTCATGCTCAAAGACACGGAGAGGAACGATATAAACCTATGTGCTAAGATAAAAGAAGTACAACAAAAAGCCCAGGAAAACAACCACACAGCTCAAGATAACATTTCTGATGCCTTAATCGAAGAAACGATTTCGCCTGGTGACAAACAAATGTTTTTCACCTCCACTTCTCAAGATGAAATAAGCAATCCTATAGAAAATTGTATTGAAGAAAGTCTCAACGCCGTTCATAAAGAAAGGCGACAAGGTTTGAAAAGGCCGTGGGATATCAAAGAAGAAGAGACAGAAGAGCCAATGTCCATTCTTGTGCCCTCTACAGATGAATCGGATTCGAAGTCAGAAATTGAATTATTAAAAGATTTTTTGATGTACGACAATATACCGTATCCTTCGAGGCTGATGGATCTATTTGGTTCTGAAGACCCTCTTGGATTGAAACTGCCCGAAACAGACTGGAAAGAAACTCAAGAGGACAATGAAATAGTCGTCTACAATGGTATAAACGATTTATTTATTAACAACAAATTATCATCTTAATGTATGGATAACCATCGGACTGCTATGTTTCTAAGGCTGAATCTAAACCATCAAACTTTAAACTATCATCATTTTTTGTTCCCTAGTCTTAATTGTACATTTATGTTTAGACTAAACTTTACAATGCAGCAAATTGTGTTTGTTACCTAGTCTTAATTGTATATTTATGTTTTAATAGTAATAAAGTAGTCTGTTCAATTTGATTGTTGTTTTACTTTACCCAAAAATTAGGCTTAAGTTAGTAGAATATACATAAATAATCAAATTTTTTATATTACGTAAAGTAATTTTGTGCTGGATTGGCAGGGAAACTCTCATATACCAAGTGCACTGTCAATAGATGGTCCTTGGAGGAGCTGAAATGTAAAAGTGGGACCAACCTTACTCGATTAAGAATAGGCCATGCGAGGTTGACCACGGCCACTTTTTTTGTGCTGGATTGGCAGGAAAACTCATATACCAAGTGCACTGTCAATAGATGGTCCTCGGAGGAGCTGAACTGTAAAAGTGGGACCAACCTTACTCGATTAAGAATAGGCCATGCGAGGTTGACCACGGCCACTTTTTTTGTGCCAAAGCCCATGTAAAAAAAAAACTTGATATGTCCCTCTTAATTAAAGAGTTCATTCCTTGGTTCCATATAAAGAGTGTGTAGGAATACCTCCATGAGAGCTATGGTTGAGTGATAGTTATTTTATGTATATACTACTGATAGATGTATTGTTTTGTGTCACCTAGTATGTGTTGAGAGTATTGGGTGTGAATAGGTGGTGTGAGAGGGTCAGTGGCGAAATATTGACTACTCCATTGACCCTCAATTAGGTTAGTTATATATGTAAATGGTGACAGGATATTTAGGAATGAGTGTGTGAGTTTGGATTAAAAAAATTATTTTTGGGGCTGAAATGACAGCTGTTGGTAGCCAAGTTACCCAACTTTGGCCATGGGACAAATGAGACCAAGCTCTGACACTATTTCCCATTTGGGGTCACAATGTCATCAGAAGGACAATGGGGTTTTGCGTGCGCACCTGGCACATGGCCTTATCATATGTTTAGATTCTTATGATAGGAGCAACAACATGCTCACAAGTGGTTCGTGTTAATCCTGTGAGTTTTGATGTAGAAGCCACTTATCCTTAGACTCAGGTGACCTCCCACTTGCTCATTCTGAGGAGGTGTCGGAACTACTGGATACGCTCTGGCTGTGGTTTTGTGTGTAGTGAATTTCTAACCAGCCCCTAGAGGAACACTGCCTTCGGTAAAGGAAGCTGATAAGGATATCATTGGACAACAGGCTCTACTCTAAGTACCTGCCAGTGGGCCATGATACCAATCCCATGTAGTGTGCTACCAGGCTTGGAACTTGGAACTGAGTGCTACTTCAGTTCAGTTGGTTATTCACCTCCTTTGTCGTTACAGACATGATCTGGTACCCTAACTGATAGAGCACCTGCTGCCCGCCTGCTGATATATAGCCAACGAATACATCTTGTGCTTAAGAGAGTTCACCATGCTCTCAAGGCTATACCATTAAGCTTTGTCTGGAACCCCCTTGCATCCAAAGGTTAGGAAATGTCTTAAGGAAATATGCCATGGGATCTGGATTGAGAAAAGGAAATCCTCGAGGCTCACCTTTTCAGGTTGCACCCCTTGCCCCGTGCATAATGTACAACCCTTTGGTACCATGATTCCCAAAGTATTGAGTTTCAGTCCCTCTGGGTGGATGAAAGAGGTGAGAATTATTGTTCAATCGCTGAAGAAGGCGAATGCCATCCTGACCTCTCAGTTCAAGGGATAATTCTGAGATTGCGTGCTTGCCCTATACATCCTGGATTAAAAATGGTTCATTCTCAGATACCCTTCTCCACATGGGTGTATGCAGGGGGAGAGGTGTCCACCAAGTCCTGACACTGGACTGGTAAAGCCTGAGGTGGGTGATTCTTGACCGCGGGAAGTGGTAGGTATGCTGAAACACATATATTATGTATGTATATGCATATGGGCATAAATCAGTAATCAGTTCAGTGATTTTCTTCTTTTTAAAATGAAATGACATCAATATGAATAGTTTTATATAAGGTAAGCTTAATATAAGGTTAGCTTGATTCTTCAAGATTTGTTAAGAAAAATCAAAAAAGAAAGAATATCTTCCTCCTGTAAGTTGGTCATCTTTGATCATCCTTGTTTGCCTATTCTCATTGGTTTTACATATAAATTTTTTTAGTTTACATTTTGCCATCTTCAGTAGTTGTTCTGATCTTTTGTTTTGTTCATCTTTGTCCCATGATTAGTGAATTGCAGAAAGACAGATCCAGTAAGAATTGGCAGATCCGAATGATCAGAGATTATAATAGGTTCATCTTTCAGAAGGTGATGGTGATGTTAATAGAATATAGAAAACGAGATTTTTATATTCCCAAAGCACTTCAATTGACTCATGCTTCTATTAAGATGTAGTTGGTGGCATTGCTGCATCATCTTTATCCCGGGTCTTCTTAGTACCCTAGGTTATGTCTCCATTGGACAACTGTAGCAAAGTGTTTTCCAGTTTTGGTGAGGGTTAAGAATTGGAAAGAGATATTGCAATATTCAAAATAATAACCTTAGGTAAGTCAGTAGCAGTGTTTTTTTTTTTTTTTTTTGACAATTGCTTGTGTTTTGATTGGATTTATATTTAAGAAATTATTTTTAGCACTTTCAGACATAGAAGTTTATTAATTATTCAGAAATCGTGAGATGCAGTCTGGTGTGATGTAGGTTTCAGAAAACATTTTCTTTACCGTGCCGTTTCGATCTTTCTTGAGATCATCTTCAGGGCCTGGGATTTAAAAACATTGTTTACATTTAACAAATACATTTAGGATGTGGAAAAAAGTGAATTTATACAATGTAAAATATATTTTTTTATATTCAAAGTATTTCTACTCACTCAAAGTGTTTGTCTTCTGTGTAATTGTGCCATCTGTCGTGTTGAGAGTGCCAGTGAGATACTGCTGTTTTATATATGCTGTGAGATGTAGAAGTTTATGTTTTTAAAGACATTATCAGAGAGAGGCAGATCAGGCACCCTGCAAAAAGCCTCTGCATATAAGTGGAATGAAAAGGAAGTAAAAGCAGAAGAGATGGAAAATAGAAGCGGACCTAAGATAAATTACTGTGTTTTCTGTCAGAAATTTGTTTATTGCTTTATTTCATGTATCATTATACTTAATAAAGATTTCATTATTACTATATTATTAATTTTTAAGGATATTTTAACGCCTAAGGTCATTTCATGCCCTAACATACAAACCTTCTATCTTAGTAAATCAATTATATTTAGTGGTCTGATTAACCAAATAACTACTTTCAATTAATTATTATGTAAGGTATTGGTTGAAATGATAACGTTAGTGTCACGAGCAGGATCGAACCCAGGACCTTACACTCATGACAGTAACTTCTGTTTTAGGTTAGCTATATCCCTTCTGAGTGCTACAAAGCTCTGACTCCAAACATAAACTAATCTATCCTATTGCCATCCAAAACATTAATTTATCCTTTTAATTCGGAAGGGCAAATGTATGCAAAAATCCCATTTTAAATTATAAAATTTATTCCGGTTCTTTGATTAAAATTTTGAATTTTTGTTCCATAATTTAGGCATTTTCCATAGGCTTGTATGGCCAATAATAATAATAATATAAATAATAATGGAGTCAGACTAGCAACAGTATTAGCATGAGCTATTATTATTAATGTAATTATTACTTATGGTGTAAGTTTTAAATAGGAGTTGCAGTGTTTTTTATTCAATTTTAAGCAATGTTTCGACAACTTCCAGGCCATATTCATGCTATACAGATTTATTTCTGAAAAAAAGGTACTCAAACATTATTGATCTCTACAAATACATATTTTAATAGCAATTAAAATATCAATTCCACAAAAATAATATAAAAACAAAAAATTTTTCAGAAATAAATATGGTATAAAAAGTTATTGAAAAAATGGTTGCACCATTTCTTAATTATCAAAAACGTACATAAAAATATTTATGAGTTGTTAAATCATTAGGATGGTTACAGTTTGTCAATTATAACTACTTTTTTAAAAATTTATTTATTTAAATTGTTCCGTCTGCCCGCCACAATTCTACCGAACGTGATCATAACAAGCAAGTAACCTTATAAAACCCTAATCATAACAATCATTAACCTTATGGATTGGGTTGGCGGGAAAAGAAAGGTTCCACAATTCCACGTCTGTTTCCAAGTGCTGTTGAAATAATCAAATTTAAGGATTCTGTTTATTTTAAAAAGGAAAAGGTTGAAAACAGATCTTCGAGGGCAAAAAGATAACATTAACCAAAGAAGCTGTGTAAGAATTGTTTAAACAATTTAGTCATTACATTATATACTAAGTCTTAAATATAAATGTTGAATTTGGTAATTTATTTTGAATTGTAGTCTTAAGAAAATATTGTACTTTATGAAATATTTTTACATCCCTGAATATAGATTCTTGGGTGGGAAATGTTCTTTTAAATTGATTTATTTGTAATTTATTTTTTCTTAAGCATGGAAGCTGCGTTCAAGACGCTTGAAAACGCTCTTAAACAGTCCGAGTTGACAATGACAAAGTTGAAAAGCCGTGTCGAATCCGTCCAGCATATAATTCTGAAAGAGCACCCAGTCATGGATGCGATCAAGCTTATTAACACTATCGAAGAAGAGGCTGCCCAACTGGCCGAATTTGACAACGAAGTACGACATCAAAGGGCTATAATCGACCTTGCCCTACGAGAAAAGGTGGTCGATCTACGAATGAAATACGAAGACTGGATTAAACATTAAAAAAACACTATTGTATTATGACTGTTTTTTAATGTGTGTTTTTCTGCTGAAAAAAAAAAATCAGTTATTCTTTAATATATCTGACGATTGCAATTTAATTTATTCAGGGCCACTGTACATTGGTAAATGAAGTTTGTAAGAAATGATTTTTATCAAAAATAAATTTGTAAGAAATGATTTTTAACTAAAATAAATTAATTTGATGTATTACTTAACATTACTTATTTGGGGGGCACGAGAATTATTGAAAAATGTGAAGTATGTAAAGGGGTTTGCACTGAAATACATTTTTCAGAAGAAGCTGGTGGAAAAGTTGAAAAGAACCCTTTTTAATAATAATAACAAAATCATTTATTTTTCCAAGCT